TAGACTATAGACTAGACTATAGACTAGACTATAGACTAGACTATAGACTAGACTATAGACTAGACTATAGACTAGACTATAGACTAGACTATAGACTAGACTATAGACTAGACTATAGACTAGACTATAGACTAGACTATAGACTAGACTATAGACTAGACTATAGACTAGACTATAGACTAGACTATAGACTAGACTATAGACTAGACTAGACTAGACTATAGACTAGACTATAGACTAGACTATAGACTAGACTATAGACTAGACTATAGACTATAGACTAGACTATAGACTAGACTAGACTAGACTATAGACTAGACTATAGACTAGACTATAGACTAGACTATAGACTAGACTATAGACTAGACTATAGACTAGACTATAGACTAGACTATAGACTAGACTATAGACTAGACTATAGACTAGACTATAGACTAGACTATAGACTAGACTATAGACTAGACTATAGACTAGACTATAGACTAGACTATAGACTAGACTATAGACTAGACTATAGACTAGACTATAGACTAGACTATAGACTAGACTATAGACTAGACTATAGACTAGACTATAGACTATAGACTAGTCTATAGACTAGACTATAGACTAGACTATAGACTAGACTATAGACTAGACTATAGACTAGACTATAGACTAGACTATAGACTAGACTATAGACTAGACTATAGACTAGACTATAGACTAGACTATAGACTAGACTATAGACTAGACTATAGACTAGACAGACTAGACTATAGACTAGACTAGACTAGACTATAGACTAGACTATAGACTAGACTATAGACTAGACTATAGACTAGACTATAGACTAGACTATAGACTAGACTATAGACTAGACTATAGACTAGACTATAGACTAGACTATAGACTAGACTATAGACTAGACTATAGACTAGACTATAGACTAGACTATAGACTAGACTATAGACTAGTCTAGACTAGACTATAGACTAGACTATAGACTAGACTATAGACTAGACTATAGACTAGACTATAGACTAGACTATAGACTAGACTATAGACTAGACTATAGACTAGACTATAGACTAGACTATAGACTAGACTATAGACTAGACTAGACTAGACTATAGACTAGACTATAGACTAGACTATAGACTAGACTATAGACTAGACTATAGACTAGACTATAGACTAGACTATAGACTAGACTATAGACTAGACTATAGACTAGACTATAGACTAGACTATAGACTAGTCTATAGACTAGACTATAGACTAGACTATAGACTAGACTATAGACTAGACTATAGACTAGACTATAGACTAGACTATAGACTAGACTATAGACTAGACTAGACTATAGACTAGACTATAGACTAGACTATAGACTAGACTATAGACTAGACTATAGACTAGACTATAGACTAGACTATAGACTAAACTAGACTAGACTACTACAGACTAGACTATATTTTTGACTGTAGACGATATTCTTATTGAAATTTGGTACTTTTTAAACCTTTAAAAAGTACTTTTATTAAAATCAAATATTTCTCCTCCCTGTTTAGATATATTTTAAATGATTTATATTTGCCACAATGTTTGCAAGTTTGTGCAGTTATATTTATATCAACCACAACTAAAAATGCCAACACTCTGCCAAGTGTATGCCAATAGTCAATAGTTTTTTTAGTTGTTTATTTAATTTTTTTGTTTGTTAAATAGTTTTTTTTTAATATTTAAAATAAAATGTAAATTTTATTTTTATTTATTTACAATTATATTAATATGTAATTTTGTTGTATTTGTTACTATTGTTTTGATTTGGTTTCATTTCATTTTTTGCAAATATTTAGCAGGTTTGAATGTTTATTTATTTACAGTTGTTGGCAGTTGTTATTAATAACAAATAATTATTTTGTAAATGTTGTAGTTGTTTTAAATAGTATTAATAAATGGTTTGTTGAACCAATAGTTATTGAATGTGGCTTAAACTGGTAATCCCTTTTGTTTGAGTTGCAAATTTTTTTCTAACGCTATTTAAGTGCTTTTTTAAGATAATTAAATTTTTTTTCTATGATGCCTAAAAATACTTGCATTTGATTGAATAAATTTCCTTGAGAAAATATTAAATCAAAAACTTTATTTTTGCCATATTGGATTTAGAGAAAAACTATTATAATTATGCCCTTAAAATATATAATAAAGTAAAAAAATTATATATTGTTTGTAGAAAGGCCAGAGGATTTCAAGGATTTTACATCAATAAAAAATTATAACATTTAGAAATTACTGTAGGTCTTTCTACAGCTTCTTGTCCTAAAAATTATATTACTATAGTCTACTTTTGGTTGAGCAAATGCTGAAGTAAACTATTATGTATGAGTTTATATTCACAAACTAATGCATGTTACACTAAATAAGGCAATAGTTTTATTTAAGAACTTTTTAAATTTATTATTATTGTAATTATTGCTGTCTTTGTTATTGTTGTTGCTTTAGTCTTGGGCTTAAATACAAACATTATACACATATTTATTTGAGAGAAATTATTATTATGCAAATTCTAAATAAGTCCAAACATTTTCATAATATTTTACAAAATGAGTAGAAATTTTACATTACGATAGGGAAGGGGACAGAGCAAAAGAGACTCTGGTCATGGGGTGTTAGCAAAAAGTAATCATATTATGTGTTAAAAACTTTCAAATGCAGCAACAGCAGCTACAACAACAACAAATTGTTTAAAGGATTTTTGGATTTACATTTGTTTTTAATTTCTATGATAAGCAATTTTCTATGATTGTACACCAAAAAGAAGGCTTGCTCCACCCCCTCCATCAAAACTTACAGTATAAGTAAAACAGAGACAGAGAGAGATAGTTTTACAAATACTTAAAAGAGCTGCATATATATTAAAAAACTAATTTAATTGCAAATGTAAATGTTGTGGATAATGTAAATGACAGAAAATTTATGTTGTAGTTATAGTTTTTTTCTTGTACTTGTACAACAACAACAAAAATATTAAGAAAAAGACTTAAATTTTGTAAAAAAAATATAAAAAAGTAATAGTATAGTTTCACTTGTAGTTTGCTAAAAGTTTTAAGTAGATTTTTAAATATGCATTAGATTTCTATAGAAAAAATATTAAAAAATCATTTAAATTATTCTCCTAAGGCTTACACATCTCCTACAAATTGAACCTTTAGTTCAAAATTGTATTTTTAATAAAAAAAAATAATTTTCATTAAAATGTCTAATTTTAGTGAAAAGTTTAATTTTTTTGCGACAAAATAGATTTTTAGTAAAAATACGTTTTTAGTGAATTTTTGTGAAAAATAATAAAAATCAGATAAAACTTGAATTTTTAGTGAAAAATCGAATTTATAGTGAAAAATCCGATTTTTAGTGAAAAATCCAATTTTTAATGAAAAATGGAATTTTGTTGTAAAAATCGAATTTTTATCGAAAAATCAAATTTTAATTGAAAAACCGTATTTTTAATAAGAAATCGAATTTTTTAGTGCAAAATAGGTTCAAGTCAAAAAAAAAAAAAAAAATAGGTTCTGAATATTGTCTAGACTATAGTACAGACAATAGACTAGACTATAGTACAGAATATAGACCAGACTAAAGTCCAAACCATAGACTAGACTATAGTCCAAACCTTAGACTAGACTATCGTCCAAACCTTAGACTAGACTATAATCCAGACTATAGACTAGACTATAGTCCAGACCATAGACTGGACTATAGTCCAGACCAAAGACTAGACTTTAGTCCAGACCAAAGACTAGACTTTAGTCCAGACTATAGACTATAATCCAGACAATAGACAGGAATATAGTCAATACTATAGACTGGAATATAGTCCAGACTATAGACTGGAATATAGTCCGGACTATACACTAGACTATAGATTAGACTATAGTGCAGACAAGAGAATAGACTATAATCCAGACAATAGACTAGACTATAGTCTAGATTATATACTAGACTATAGTCCAGACCATAGACTAGACTATAGTCCAGATTACAGAATAGACTATAGTCCAGCCTATCGACAGGACAATAGTCCAAGCTATTTACAGAACTATAGTTCAGACTACAGACAGGACCATTGTCCATACTATAGACAGAGCTATAGTCCAAACTATAGAGAGAACTATAGTCCAAACTATAGACAGAACTATAGTCCAAACTATAGACAGAACTATAGTCCAAAATGTAGAACTATAGTCCAGATTATAGACTGAACTATAATCCTGACTATAGCCAGAGCTATAGTCCAGACTATAAACAGAACTATAGTCTAGACTATAGACAGAACTATAGTCCAGACTATAGACAGAACTATAGTCCAGACTATAGACAGAACTATAGTCCAGACTATAGACAGAACTATAGTCCAGACTATAGACAGAACTATAGTCCAGACTATAGACAGTACTATAGTCCAGACTATAGACAGTACTATAGTCCAGACTATAGACAGAACTATAGTCCAGACTATAGACAGAACTATAGTCCAGACTATAGACAGAACTATAGTCCAGACTATAGACAGAACTATAGACAGAACTACAGTCCAGACTATGGACAGAACTATAGTACAGACTATGGACAGAACTATAGTCCAGACTATGGACAGAACTATAGTCCAGACTATAGACAGAACTATAGTCCAGACTATAGACAGAACTATAGTCCAGACTATAGACAGAACTATAGTCCAGACTATAGACAGAACTATAGTCCAGGCTATAGACAGAACTATAGTCCAGACTATAGACATGACTATAAATCAGTGTATAGACTGTAGTCCAGACTGTAGAGTAAACTATAGTCCGGACTATGGGCTAGACTATAGTCCAGTAAATATTAAAATTTTATGCTAAAATTTAAATTTGTTAATGAAATCTTGAATTTTTAGTGCAAAAGGTTGGTTTTGACGTAGAAATTGTGTTTTTATTATAAAAACGATATGATGTCGTAATAAAAAGTTCTCTCTGCTTTAACTGTCATAACATTTTGAACATTTCATAAATAAATTTTCCAAAAAAATATCATTTTCTAAAAATATTTTTAAAAAAACATTACAATACTTTCCAAATTCTCTGTGATATTCTTAAAAATTTTATAAAAGTAAAAAAATCATATAAAAAGCTTAAAAAAATGGCTTTATCTAGTATCAAAAAAATAAATTTCCTAAATCTGCTGAGATTTCCTAAGAACTACAACTCGTATTTAACACAACGTCTACAGTCCTCTAAAGCCGCCAACGGAAAAGAAGCAAGATCAGCTGAGTGTAGCAAGCCTCCACAACCAAAATGTGGTGTACGCTTTAAAAATGAACCTTGCGAAATAAAAAGAGCTAAACCCGCCAAATTGCCTCAACCAGCTCCGCCTTCGCTACCGCAAGATAAAGTGGAAATCAAAATTAAACGTAGTGTCTATTGTTGTGGTGATCCTTGTCCCGATGCTTTACCACGTTTTGACAAACTTTACTACAGACGTTCGGATAAGGCGGAGCGTGATTATCAACAAACTTGGAATGAGTGTCCTGAACAATTTATACGACCCAAAGTCATCTGCTGTCATAAACCCATTAAACCCAAATTCAAAAAGCGTCCTCGCAAAGAACGCCCTAAAACCGCTTGCAAAGCAGATGTTTGCTTGCAGAGTAAAACCAAATGTCCCTATATCAAAATGCCCGATTGTAAGGAGGGTAGAAAACCACCTTCCTGTTTGACTCAAAGAAAACCGGCTAAATGTTTGAAGAGAAATCCACCTTATCCCTCATTCTCAGAATGTAAACGTGTTAGACCTAAGGGCAGACATCCGATTGAATGTAAGTGCTTGGCTATACCATCGATCTGTGAGGTGTGGGCTTATCATCATAGACAAGCGGCCATTAAGAAGCCGGAGAGTTGTTAAAGCTCTAGAGTTGATATTCAAAGTTAAATGTTTTTCAAATGTAAAAAATTGTTAAAAAATTTTACCGTAATTTTATGAAATATATTTTATCAACGGTTTTCTATAAAGCTTTAGCGTTTATTTAGCTTTTTCACTGGAACAAACATTTTTTCAACAGAATAGCTTCTATAGAAAACTCTTTTTACTCGAATATTTTTCATTTCTATAGTAAAAGCTTTCTATTAGAAGGTTTTTTTTTCACGGAAGTCCTTTATTAAAACAAAAAATACGAAAGACCATGGTAAAAATATCATATTTTTATCATGCGAAAGACTATTCTCAAAATTTTTAGAAAAAATTTCCTCAAGAGCTTTTTCACCAGAAAAGCTTTTGCCATTAAAAATATTAAAAATAGTAATCAATGTATTTTTCCATTTTTATTAAAATATTTTCCACTTTTCACAATTTTGTTTATCACTTTAAAAAGCTCCATACTTCTAAGACATCTATTATTATCCTTATGAAAACCTTCCTAGAACTTTGTGTAAGAAAGGTTTAAGATTTTGCGAGATCTCCCGCAATAAACTTAAATCTGTTATACACAAAAATCGAAAAAAGTTTCGGCTATTTAGAAAGCCAAAATAAGACAGATAGCTTTCTGACCCATAAACCTAACGCGGTCCCTGCATTTTCGGTGGCCAGGCCGGTAAAGGTGGTGGTAAATCATAAATCATTTTACGCTTTAAATGTCTAAAGACCACACAGTTGGGCTGCAAGGCGGTACATTGACATTCTGTCTTTCTTCTAGGAGGTGGACAGCGATAACAACATTCCGAAAAGGAGGGATAAGGACAACATTTCTTTTTACAATTTGTACTAGTTCTGGCAGCAATACTGCAGGTGGGAGGATAACGACCACGTATACAGCAGGGCATTTGAATGCGAGCACACTTAGTATTTGTACCGCTGCTGCATAAAGCTTTCATTTTGCGTGAATCAAATTCACAGGCGGTTATAGGACATTCCGCCTTTTTGCGGCGACATATGGGCGGTAATTCTGTGGAGTCATAACAGCAAATTCTGCGTTTACGTATTTGCACTGGGGGGCATTCGACCCAGGTCTGCTGATACTGCCTTTTAGCTTTATCCGTAGGCCTATAGTAAAGGCTATCGAATCTGGGTAATAAATCCGGGCAGGGATTGCCGCAGCATTCAGCAGGATACTCCCAAACTGCTGTTTGTGGCTGTACACGTCTTTCTAGTTTCACTTCTTTTTTATTAAATTGTTCTCTGGCTCCTTTACAATTACAGGGATCTTGAGTCAGTCTTTTACTGCCACAACACTCTGGTTTTTCTTTGCATAAAATTTCTTTAACTGCTGGGCATTTGCCAAACGGTAAAGGACAACACGGTTCTCTAGGTTGACATTCAGGTTCTTCACACTTTTTCTTAGGATATTCCATGGTGCAGGGTCTAGTTCCAGAACAGGGCCTGCCGGTTCCTGAATATAAACGTAGGCCAGCTTGCGTAAATGTCGAATTTAAGCCGGCTGCTAAACGCCGCGTAAATAAGGATAAAAACATGTTGCTTTATAAGTCGGGAGATTTTTAAGAATTTTGTGTTGAGATTTTTTAATTTTTTTATAATTTTAGAAAAAGTTTTTAGAATTGTTTTTTAATTTTTGAATCTTATTACAAAGAAATATAATTTAGTTTTGGAAATATAAAAATGAAACGGAATGATTCAAAATATTTTAAATAATTTTTATTTCATAATCTATCTTTTTACTAAACAAGTATTTTGAGAAATTTTTTTCAAATCGTTAGTTCTAGTTCAGTTCTAGTTCAGTTCGAGTTCAGTTCTAGTTCAGTTCTAGTTCAGTTCTAGTTCAGTTCTAGTTCAGTTCTAGTTCAGTTCTAGTTCAGTTCTAGTTCAGTTCTAGTTCAGTTCTAGTTCAGTTCTAGTTCAGTTCTAGTTCAGTTCTAGTTCAGTTCTAGTTCAGTTCTAGTTCAATTCTAGTTCAGTTCTAGTTCAGTTCTAGTTCAGTTCTAGTTCAGTTCTAGTTCAGTTCTAGTTCAGTTCTAGTTCAGTTCTAGTTCAGTTCTAGTTCAGTTCTAGTTCAGTTCTAGTTCAGTTCTAGTTCAGTTCTAGTTCAGTTCTAGTTCAGTTCTAGTTCAGTTCTAGTTCAGTTCTAGTTCAGTTCTAGTTCAGTTCTAGTTCAGTTCTAGTTCAGTTCTAGTCAGTTCTAGTTCAGTTCTAGTTCAGTTCTAGTTCAGTTCTAGTTCAGTTCTAGTTCAGTTCTAGTTCAGTTCTAGTTCAGTTCTAGTCAGTTCTAGTTCAGTTCTAGTTCAGTTCTAGTTCAGTTCTAGTTCAGTTCTAGTCAGTTCTAGTTCAGTTCTAGTTCAGTTCTAGTTCAGTTCTAGTTTAGTTCAGTTCTAGTTCAGTTCTAGTTCAGTTCTAGTTCAGTTCTAGTTCAGTTCTAGTTCAGTTCTAGTTCAGTTCTAGTTCAGTTCTAGTTCAGTTCTAGTTCAGTTCTAGTTCAGTTCTAGTTCAGTTCTAGTTCAGTTCTAGTTCAGTTCTAGTTCAGTTCTAGTTCAGTTCTAGTTCAGTTCTAGTTCAGTTCTAGTTCAGTTCTAGTTCAGTTCTAGTTCAGTTCTAGTTCAGTTCTAGTTCAGTTCTAGTTCAGTTCTAGTTCAGTTCTAGTTCAGTTCTAGTTCAGTTCTAGTTCAGTTCTAGTTCAGTTCTAGTTCAGTTCTAGTTCAGTTCTAGTTCAGTTCTAGTTCAGTTCTAGTTCAGTTCTAGTTCAGTTCTAGTTCAGTTCTAGTTCAGTTCTAGTTCAGTTCTAGTTCAGTTCTAGTTCAGTTCTAGTTCAGTTCTAGTTCAGTTCTAGTTCAGTTCTAGTTCAGTTCTAGTTCAGTTCTAGTTCAGTTCTAGTTCTAGTTCTAGTTCAGTTCTAGTTCAGTTCTAGTTCAGTTCTAGTTCAGTTCTAGTTCAGTTCTAGTTCAGTTCTAGTTCAGTTCTAGTTCAGTTCTAGTTCAGTTCTAGTTCAGTTCTAGTTCAGTTCTAGTTCAGTTCTAGTTCAGTTCTAGTTCAGTTCTAGTTCAGTTTCTAGTTCAGTTCTAGTTCAGTTCTAGTTCAGTTCTAGTTCAGTTCTAGTTCAGTTCTAGTTCAGTTCTAGTTCAGTTCTAGTTCAGTTCTAGTTCAGTTCTAGTTCAGTTCTAGTTCAGTTCTAGTTCAGTTCTAGTTCAGTTCTAGTTCAGTTCTAGTTCAGTTCTAGTTCAGTTCTAGTTCAGTTCTAGTTCAGTTCTAGTTCAGTTCTAGTTCAGTTCTAGTTCAGTTCTAGTTCAGTTCTAGTTCAGTCTAGTCAGTTCTAGTTCAGTTCTAGTTCAGTTCTAGTTCAGTTCTAGTTCAGTTCTAGTTCAGTTCTAGTTCAGTTCTAGTTCAGTTCTTCTTCAGTTCTACTTCTATTTATGGAGTTATTCACATTTTCAAAACAGTCTCATCATACCATTCCCATGAGGATTAGAACAGTGTCGTTTATTATGCCAACTTAAAACGCACTTAATTATCAATTCAATACATTTGATCTTAAACATTGTAACGTTATGTTTTCACATTTTAATTAGTCGACACGGGAGACAGACACCTTTCGTTTGTTGCACGTTGCTGTTTGTTAAGATTTCGATTGTCGCTTTATTGCTGCAGTTGTGCCTCATAAATTCAACAAAGCTGTTTAAGCAGCTTGTTTTCTAGATCATTTTTACTTGTTAAGCTCATTTACGTAAAACAAACATTTAATCTCTCTAAGATCATTAACATATTGCTACGCAAATACAACCGAAAATTGTTTTTCTTAGTTTTTGGCAAAAAAAAAAAAGAAAACAAAACCAACATACTTAACAATTCTACAAAATGTTTTTAGATTAAATACCAAACATGGTGGGTTAACAAGACATAAAAAGCGTAATTGTAGATAAAATGTTAGCAAATGTTTGGTTAAATCGAACACATACATATGAAATTTTTGTTATGGCAAGAGAGCTTCTTTTTTAACGATTTTACTGGCAAATTAAAAAAAATCAAAATTAGGTTACATATCGTTGGAGACCCCAAAATCAATTTCACTTGTAATCTTATTTAAACAATTTTTTAAAAGTTTTTCGTTTTTTTGTTAGTTTTTGGCTTTCGTCGATTTGCGTTTGAGATGTTTGATTTAAGTTGATTTTTCTTATTTTTTCTGTAGTGTTGTTGTTGCATTTATTTGTTTAAAGTCTTTAATACATTTAATTTGGTAAAATGTTCAATTAAATGAACATGATACTTGTATGTACGAATATTAGGATAATGGTGGTGGTGATGTTATAAATAGAAGATTGTAAATCCGATTATAACGGTGATATTTACATATAGAACACACTTGCTTGTAATTTTTAATAGTTGTTATTCTTAGATATATATTTAGAACATATCGGACTTAGGAAAAGTAATGATTGACACTATTTTCTTAACAACGTTAGCACTAGAAAAGCCACGTTTGAAAAATTTCAGTTTTGAAAACCAAAAACTGAACTAGAACTGAACTAGAACTGAACTAGAACTGAACTAGAACTGAACTAGAACTGAACTAGAACTGAACTAGAACTGAACTAGAACTGAACTAGAACTGAACTAGAACTAAACTAAAACTAAACTAGAACTGTATAAGAACTCAATTATAATTATAGTGATCTTGGTTATTATCAGTGAAAGCCTGCACGTTATGCTGTAATATTGTAAAAAAAAAAACATTTTATAAAATTAGTACATATTCCCAAAATTATGTAAATCTTTTTTTGAGAAATATTTTCCTTATTATTCCATTTGCCAACCTAAAAGCACCCATTTATATACATATTAGCGTTTCATTAACATTTAATATAAATGTAAATGTTTTTGGGCAAATAGATCCCTGTATGGTTGGTAAAATAGTTTTTCTGTGTCTCTTCCTGTTTGTCTGTATGTATGTATGTATGTGTATGAATGCGTTAGAAGCAAACCAAATATCCTTAACTAACAACTAAATATCCTTTTTGAAAACTATCTACCATGTGTAAATGGGGGCAGGGTTAAAGAGAAAGGGTAACAAACACAAAACGTCTGGGGTAACCAAATTTAAATTAAGTATGATATTAGTGTGTGTGACGTTATACAACATACATACATATGCATGTGTTTATGCACATGTGTATGTATACATACTAATAATGTCCTTAATTTCTAAGGCAAACTTACAAATACATTAACTTGTAGTAAAGACAAGAACATGTTAAATCAGTCCTTTTTAGTTTTGGCCAAGTAAAACTCAGTTCTTCTTTTATTTTTGGTTATTTTAAGCACTAAAAAGGATTTGCTGTTAAATTTGTTTAAAAAATGTATAATTAGTTTATTTTAAAGTAACATATAGTTTTTAGTAAAAAAGGTTTTTATAATTGAATTTAATATGACAAACAAAAGTTTTGCTCCTTTTTTTACTAAAAGTTAAACTTATTTATTGGTTTTAAACTCTACCTTGTTGATTGTTATAAAAAATATGATTTCCTTTCTTCTTACATTTTAATGCTTGATTTATGACAACATGTCAAAATGGTTTTTTTAAATTTTGCATAATATTGTGAAACAAAAAAAATCTTTTTTAAAATATGCTAAAAACACAAAAATTATCTGACTACCACCAAGACAATAAGCAAATTTTTTGGATTAAACAAAACAAGAAATACATTTGATTCCCTACGTATAAATCAGCATAATTTTTGTATATATTTAAAATTTTCTTTAAGTGTATGTTAAAGAAAATAACTTTGGTTTAAAGCTTCTCATATGCATACACTTAAAAAAAGCTGTATAATGTTTTTATCTACATTATTTTGGTATTCATCCGTATAATGATATTGTTAAACATTGATTTATATTATTCATCTATATATGTATGTTTGTTTGGATTGAAGATTTGAAAGATGTAGCAGTTAACCAATGGTATTATTTTGAAATGTTTTTGAATGATTAAAGTCGTCGTTTAAACAAATTACCAATGCAAAATAGTTGCAAAGTTTGTTTTTTGCGAACAAAGTGGAAAAAGGGGTAATTTTAGGGTTTATATTATGATGGAATGAATGAGAGATTTAAGGAAATAAACTTTTAAGGTAAACTTTTAAGGAATTACTAAGAAAAACTTTACAGCATGTATTGCTTAAAGTTGTCTTGGTAATTACTAGGCCACTTTTGGTTCTACTTCCATTACAAGTACGTAGTTCTGTTCTAGTTTAGCTCTAGTTCGATTCTTGTTCAGTTCTAGTTCAGTTCTAGTTCAGTTCTAGTTCAGTTCTAGTTAGTTCAGTTCAGTTCTAGTTCAGTTCTAGTTCAGTTCTAGTTCAGTTCTAGTTCAGTTCTAGTTCAGTTCTAGTTCAGTTCTAGTTCAGTTCTAGTTCAGTTCTAGTTCAGTTCTAGTTCAGTTCTAGTTCAGTTCTAGTTCAGTTCTAGTTCAGTTCTAGTTCAGTTCTAGTTCAGTTCTATTTCAGTTCTAGTTCAATTCTAGTTCAGTTCTAGTTCAGTTCTAGTTCAGTTCTAGTTCAGTTCTAGTTCAGTTCTAGTTCAATTCTAGTTCAGTTCTAGTTCAGTTCTAGTTCAGTTCTAGTTCAGTTCTAGTTCAGTTCTAGTTCAGTTCTAGTTCAGTTCTAG